TTTTCGCGATGTTCATTATATATTCAACTTTTTTTTTATTTAATCAACGCATGGGGGGCTCAGTGAGGTTCGATAAACCCCTCCCCTTGTTGAGTAAAATTTGCAACCGTCCGCCATCATGCCTCCCCCTTTTTCCCCTCGTGAAATCTTAATTAATGAAATATTTAATTTATTTAATTAACACATGCGAACGGAGGGATGAGGGGTGGCTCAGATAGATTTTGAAATCCCCTCCCCTTGGCTAGAATTTGCAACTCTGTGTTATCATGTCCCCCCTAATAAACACATTATAAAATAAATTAAAACAATGTAAAAATAATTATGATTATCTAAAGTTAATCATACGAAAATATATCCGATGCAATTCCTATCTTATGTGCACTTTTGATTACCTAAAATAAAATAACAACACATGGGGCAACATTGCACACCCATTAACTAGCTCGGCAGACTACTGGTCAGACCACCCTGACTACTACTACTGTCGACTTTACCGATCCGAGCGGGAAATTGACGCTACCGCTATCTCGCGGCATCCCCCCTACAAGCTTCTATGATCATTCTTAACACGAAAAATTATTTCATCCAATTGATAAATAACAATGCAATCAACGGTACCAATATGAATAAATACCACATATTTCAACTTTTATAATGTTTTTAGCGGTCATTCCCTCTTTTGTAGCCCCAAAATCGACCACTAAAATCAACGACGGAACAACGACGCTATACCGTCATTGTACCGTCGTTGTTGGATCACCAGGGTACGTACCAACCAAATTAATTTTTTTAGGCGTTGAACATACTATGCGTCCTTTCTCCGCTTGGATCTTCACCAATTTCATCGTGATTTTTATATCTGCAAAAAAAATCACAACGTAGTTTATACACTATACCACCGTTCCGTGGACATGAAAAGGGTGGCAGGATTTGATGGTCAGAATTTATGTTTTCGGAGATGGAGAATCAGAATTTTTTTGTGTTTTTGCGATCCCATTGAGCAATTGTTAGTTATAAACAATTTAACCCCAATTTTTGATAAAAAAATGATTTTTTATGCAAACCATGAAACATACAGAAAAATGTTCCAAATAAACGTTGTTTGTCTTTTTCATCCGAACAAAACGCTTTTTGATTTATCAAAATCGGCCCAGTGGTTCGCACGATATCCGCTAATTAGGGGGTGTTTTTAATGAACAAATGATTTTTTATGAAAACGACAAGAGATATCGGAAAACGTTTCGAATAAGAGTTGTTCGTCTTTCCAATACAAACAATCATGAGAATTTTTTCAAGTGAAAAATGAAGTGAAAATGGATTGAGTGATTGAGAAATACCGCATGTGAAGTTAGTCAGATAGAGTTCTGGTTGAGCATGCAAAGCTGCGCGTTTTCCTCGCCCGGCTTTACTCGTATAATCAGCTCCTATCAAATGATCCACTGCGGGTAGACATTGAAGGACATCGAAATCGCAATGAGAAGCAAATATGTGAAGAGTGGCGATTTTCTTCGTTGCTCCCGAACCAACAGTTATCCAAAGTTCCTGTGATGGAAAAAAAATTACTTATGGAAAAATATAATAAAATTCTTCATATCCCTTTATTTCATTTTGTTTAAAGGAGGGATGATGATAAAGTGCGAGGGCAAATACGTCAGTGTGACAAGAGGAAATTAAAATTTTCTTTCCATCGTTCATTACTACGTGTGTCGCATGTGCCTTGATTCGTACTCCCTATTCAACGCCTATTCAATGTCATCAGTTTTCACAACCTCAAGGCTTACTGGAGATAGTCTGTGGTTCGATTGACAAGCATCTTTGTCCGTAGCGCTCATTAAGAACACTCACTAATTAGCGAATAGCGCGCGAACTACTGGACCGATTCCGATAAATCAAAAGCTGGTTTGTTTGAATTGAAAAAACGAACAACTTTTATTGGAAACATTTTCCGATATCTTTCGTTGTTTTCATAAAAAATCATTTAATCATTAAAAACACCCACTAATTAACGAATATCGTGCGAGCCACTGGGCCGATTCTGATAAATTAAAAGCTGTTTTATTTGAATTGGAAAGACGAACAACTTTTATTCGAAACGTTTTCCGATATCTTTCGTCGTTTTCATAAAAAATCATTTAATCATTGAAAACACCCACTAATTAGCGAATATCGTGCGAGCCACAGGGCCGATTTCGATAAATTAAAAGCTATTTTATTTGTATTGAAAAGACAAACAACTTTTATTCGAAACATTTTCCGATATCTCTTGTCGTTTTCATAAAAAATCATTTGTTCTTTAAAAACACCCACTTATTAACCAATATCGTGCGAACCACTAGGCCGATTTCGATAAATCAAAAAGCGTTTTGTTCATATGAAAATGACGAACAACTTTTGTTTGAAACATTTTTCGGTATGTTCCATGGTTTGAATGAAAAATCTTTTTTTCATCAAAAATTGAAGTAAAATTGTTTATAACTAACAATTGCTCAATGGGATCGCAAAAACACCAAGAAATTCGGATTTTCCACCCCCGAAAATATAAATTCCGATCATCAAATCCTGCCGTCCTTTTCATGTCCACAGAAAGGTGGTATAGCGTATAGACTAACAATGGAATAATTGCCTTCTACTTCTATAAAAACAGTATGAAACGAGTTGAGGTTTGAGAAGTATAAATAATTTTTGAAAATATTGAATTCATTTAAATATTCAATTTTCGAGTTTGTTGACAGGTATAGCCGCCATCTTGGTTGAATACCTCCCAGGCAGCAAAACTCGACGATTTGCCGCAATTTATCAGCAAATGGGATTTCGTTAACGACAAACTTTCCGATCACTGTTTGCTGGGCTGGTGAGCAGCTCGTATATTGAAACATTTTTCCAAGTTATTTCTCCTTTTCAGATCATCTCAAATGCGTTTCATCATTTTTCATAAAAAATAACAGTTTTTTTAGATTTTTGAAATTGATTTAGCCAAGATCCTCCCGTATTTTAGTTGTTTTTTTACCCCCTTGATGTCTCCAAACTGGGGAGGCTAAATACGAAGAACATGACGGACTTACCTTCAACAGCCCTTAACTTTTTATTCCTTGGTGAACGATCCAGAATTGTTCGATGAAATCGCACTTCAAATTGGACTAAAAACACACTATAAACACACTAAAAACACAATATAAACACACTATAAACACAATATAAACACACTATAAACACACTATTACAACTAGGCCCTGCGCGTATCGTAATGGCGGACCAGGGATAACTCTCTACTCTCCCTTATGGCGGAGCTTTGCACCCTCAGCCCCCCCCCCCCTCCGCTGCAGTCCCATTGAGGGTTCCAACTTATTCTACAGATGTTGGTTCTTGCTAAATATTTCGGAATCTAAGAAAGATGACAAAATTTTCTAAAATCATATTTTGTAGCTCTCATTTTTCTCAACGAAACAGGTCCTTATGAGAATTCGGCAATCTCCTTTTAATTCCGCGGTTTTCCCCAAAAACTGATTTCCAAATCAGCATGAATTTTTAAAACCTTGAAAATTGCAACAATTCTCAAAAAATGTGATTTTTTAATGATTTCATTGGAACGCCACGGATTGCCAATTGTTCTGTAATTATCTCGGAAACCCGTACGTGTAGAAAAAATTCTTAGAAGGTCTTGCTTTGTAGTCCACAAAATTCTCTACACAAAATATCTCTTGACATTTAAAAAAAATTTCGAACATCATTAATTAATTTATTAGTTCCAATGAAATGATAATCCCGACAGATCCACACTATCTTCTCTACTTGTGATCTTTATTATTTCGGTGACAATACCCTGTCCTCAATAATTCCCATGTTTTTGACAGATTGAACCATCAATGTTTACAATTTTTTTTCCACCCCAATTTGGAACTAAATTCAAGCATCTATTTGTAGCGTACTTCCGACATCAGCCGTTTTCATAAATGAAATCTCCGATGATAAGGCAATATTCGGGGCATTGTCATGTATAGCGATTGTGGAGAAAGTCCTCCAATTTTTGAAGTCCAGTAGGGCACGGCCAAATCAGTAGATCATCAGGCCATCACGATTTATATATGCCATTGGTAAATCCGAAAATTCTCTTAGTCCAGTCCAATGCGGAATGATCAGTAGAAGATTGGCCGTACCCGAAGGGACTTAGAAAAGTATGATGAATAATATTCATTGATCACATTAATGAATTCATTAACGAACAATCAGAATAATAATAGTTGATAATATTAATAGACCATAATTTAAAAAATTTGATAACAAAAGTCGGAGGATCATTTATATTGTTATGTCCAAATTATTCTCAGCCTAAAATCGCCCTTTCAAAATCCTCCCCCAATTCCAAAATATCCAAAACCCAAAATAAACAACGGCGTACAAGATTTAAATTACAGAAAAATATCAATAACAATTAAACAAAGGGCCAAACAATTAAGTGCAAAGGACCAAAATTGTTCCCCTAAACGAAACAAAAACTTTGAGCCCTCACACACCTCGTTTGGACCACCACAAAACCAACCCCCACTATCCTACATGAAATAAACAAATTGCCCCCAAACTAAATTATAAAAACAAAATTCTCGCACCATACAAATACGTCAAAAGTTCCGCCCCACAGCAACGAAACTTTTGACCCATCATTCGCAATCGTATTGTCAAGTCAGCAATCGGGATTCGGCGCTCGGTCGCATGTGTGTTGTATGGATAAAAAATAGCAAACTTGTGGACCGCATAGGATCCGGAGGTAGTATTCTCGATACTACGTGAATAAGATTTGTCATTGCACACGACTCCGTTCACGACTATGATCACCAGGCGAATAATTCCACATATTTCGGAATTTTATCTCCGCAATAACACTCTTGAGTATACTGTAATATATTAGATTGATAATAGATGGCACGAACGAACGAAAGAGCGATGACGAATGTCCACACAGGATCTCAAAATTGTAATCCCTCTCAGTCCCCTATTACCTCTCGACCAATACACAATAAACTCAATGACGTTACACCTGTCTCTATTCATTTATACCCTCTAACTATATTACAATGGCGACGAGTGAAAAAGATTTATTTATACGCGTGATTGACAGGATTATTTATTAAAAAAGGATATGAAACGTGCGTCTTCTGAGAACATTGTGTCGAGTGATTAAAAAAAGCATTTAACGGAACGTGAGAAATTAAATTTACAAAAGATTGAATTTGAAAGAGAAAGAGAAGAATTCAATCATTTGAGATATAGTTTGCATCAAAAAAGGAACAAATTAGCTGAAAGTGAAAAGTTTTTGCAACTGAAAAAGACATTTATTGAAGAGGAAAAAAGTGAACTAGCTCAAGAGGAATTGGTTCTAAAACAGTTTCGACAAAATTTGAACGCTTGGCTTATCAAACTCAACGAATTTAAAGTTGAGTTGGAGAGTGTCGAAAGACAGTTGAACGAGAAACAGATCGATATCCAGGTACGGCTGGAATCAAAACAAAGTGGTTTTTCTGTATACCAAGGACAATTTAACCACGAAACACAAGGTTTCGGTATTGGTCATACAGAGGAAAGTGATAGTTTTTCTAGTATGGTTGAAAACAATGGGATTATTTCCTCTTTGTCGGATTTTCAAGTTGGTGAAGATTGGGACCTTTATGCCGAGCGTCTCGATCAGTTTTTCGTTGGAAACAATATTCCAAAAGCTCGATGGGTTGCCGTGTTAATTACAAAATTGGGATCAGAGGCTTATAAAATTCTTCGAGACCTGTGTGATCCAGTAGTACCAAAGACCAAACCTTTTGATGAGCTTTGTAAAATTTTGAAGGAACAATTTGCTCCAAAAATTTCAGCTTTTAAAGAACGAGTAGAATTTTATAGTTTGATGCAAAAAGACGATGAATCCATGAGTGATTGGTTTGCTAGAATTAAAAATAAAGCAATCCATTGTAAATTTGGTGCAACTCTTGATGACAAAATCAAGGACAAGTTTATCACTGGCTTGCTGAGAGGTCCAATCCTTGACAAGATGTGCGAGCAAGACACAACGATGAGCCTCAAAGATATTGTGGAGAATGCCAGAAATAAGGAAGCCACACTGAGCCGGGCAACATCAAGAACACCTGCGGATCAAATCCATCGACTACAAATAAATTATCGAAGAGACATCAAACAGAGGGTCCAGATCCAAAACTACAACAACAAGCCCAGAGGGAAAAATTCTACGGGCCAGAAGAGCGACAACTCGGAGCCCACTTGTAAATATTGTGGTAAAACTCGCCATAATTTTTCTAAATGCAGGTATAAAACATTTAAAGGTAGTGTCTGCGATAAGGTAGGGCATTTGTCTCGAGTATGTTCAGTTAAACAAAAGACTACTAGTAATCATTTTCTAGAAAATGAGGAGGATGACAGATTTCATGAAATTATTAGTGATATGTTTTCTTTATCAAATACCGACAAAATTGTTGAGCCGGAGATGGTTCAAATTGAAATTGAGGGTAAAAAATTGAATGTCGAAATTGACACTGGAGCTAGTAGATCTGTTATCCCAGAGTTAATTTATAGGAAATTGTTTAACAATTGTAAGCTTGAGAAAACTTCCGTCAGACTTAGAATGTACAACGGTGAAATAATTTCACCGATTGGTCAAATTTTAGTAGAATTGCGTAATAACAATTTAAAGACGGAGGGATGTCTAGTTGTCGTTCGAAATGGTTCAAGGCCTTTGTTGGGGAGGGATCTGATGAAACCTTTGGGATTTTATATTTCTTCGGTAAATTATGTAAATACGGATGATCCAGTGAAAAAGCTAATTGATAAATATGCCGAATTATTTGATGGAAAATTAGGAAAATTTAAACATGAAACAGTTGATATTAAATTAAGTGAAGAAGTGACACCAATTTTTTAAAAACCAAGGCCAGTACCTTTTGCTATGAGGAAAAAAATTGATGAAAAATTAGATAAATTAGAAAAAGATGGAGTTATTACCTTGAAGGAAAATAGTAAGTGGGGTACGCCCTTAGTTCCAACTATAGAAGAAAATGGTGACTTGAGAATTTGCGCTGCTTATAAGATCACAGTAAATCGTTTTGAGGAGGATGATAAACATCCTTTCCCGAGAATTGAAGAGATATTTGCAAAATTGAGTGGTGGTAAATTATTCACTAAACTAGATCTTACAGCCGGGTATAATCAATTGGAACTAACGGAGAAATCCAAAGAGTTATTGGCCTGGAGTACGCACAGAGGAATTTACCATGTAAATAGATTACCCTTTGGAGTAAAACCTGCTTGTGCAATTTTTCAGAAAATTTTGGAAAAAGTTTTACAAGGAACTTAGGGTACAGCAAATTTTTTAGATGATATTATTGTCACGGGGAAAAATCGTGAGGAGCATTTAGCAAATTTAAGGGATGTGTTCAGAAGACTACATGAAGCTGGATTTAAATTAAATCTAAAAAAATGCGATTTCTTTTAACCGGTGATCATGTATCTGGGACACATTATTGACAAAGATAGTTTGCACAAAGATCCTGACCATGTTATGGCTATTGTTAGAGCTCCAAAGCCCGTAAATAAACAAGAAGTTCAAGCTTTCATTGGTATGGTCAATTATTATGCCAAATTTGTACCAAAGATGTCTGACACTCTGAAACCCTTGTACGACTTGTTAAAATTGAAAACTTTTAAGTGGACTAGAGATTGTGATAATGCTTTTAATAGGATAAAAGAAGGGATGTCGTCAGAGAGATTTTTAACTCATTTTGATCCAAATTTACCATTAAAGTGGTGTCTGACGCATCTCAATATGGCATCGGAGCTGTATTACTCCATGTTTTTCCTGATAACTCAAAAAAGCCAATTTGTTTTGCCTCTAGAATTTTGAAAGATTTTGAAAAGAGATATTCTGTTATTCATAATGAATCTCTCGCTATATACTGGGGTGTGAAAAATTTCTCATCAGTTTCTAATGGGAAATAAATTCATACTGTGTTCTGACCATAAACCTTTGCAAGCGCTTTTTGGTGAGAACAAGGGAATACCTCAATTAGCAGCTGGACGACTGCAAAGATGGGCTTTATTTTTGAGTGGATTTAATTATCAATTCCAGTATATAAAAGGAGACAGGAACGGAGGGGCAGACGGATTGTCTAGACTTCCACTTGATTGTAAAACTAATGAGACTGAAACTGGTGATTATTTTCATTTTATTGTTGAAGTGTTATGTCCAGAGAAGGATTTTAGCGTCGAATGGACCTGTTTTAATTGTCACATTAAAATCAAAGCTAAAATTATTGAATTTTATAATTATTGGAAGACGCAAAGTTTTATATTCTTACTTTTTTTTTAAATATAAGGGAGAAAGGGTTTGATTTAGGGATAGGGCTTGAGTTGAGACTAATTTCTAATCAAGAAATTTGGAGTTGTACTGGGAATCAAGTTTGAATTTAAATATATTTTGTGTAACTATTCGGTTCACAAAAACATAAGCGTGATTTTAAAGAAATCTATGTATCTAAAATTCCTTTCTCTGGAATGATCTGAAGGATTCAAATTTAGGTTTACAAATTTTTGTTACTCACAATTCGGTCTGTTATTCATAAATTATTCGATGTGTTTGTAGCTCCCTGGGTAAATCCGTAATTTCCTCACCAGCAATTAGTCGCGCTAAAGGCTATTATAGATACTTTCACGGAAACACTTTCTTCTACTCGTTGATATTTTAATGAATTTTTACAGTTGAATTTTAAGATTTTAAGAGTTTGTTTGTGACTGTCCACAACGCGTCACAATCAACGAATTCCTTATTTGCAAGAAAAGTCACCACTCTCGGTTAAAGAAATTTTATTCCCGGATAATTTCAATTATTCGTAACTTAGTATTAATTCAGTACTATCCCGTGTAATCGAAGGAAGGATTGAAAAACTGGACCGATTAAATGAACTGTTTCCACCAGAATTGTTACTGCTCCGTCGCTGCTTCAAGACTGCTTAATTTTGGTTTTTCTGACATTTTTATATGAATTTTGGGGTCACTTGTCACATGGGCTCCAACGAGTCCATTTTTAATTGGTGGAAAATGTCGTATGACTTTTCCCACTCTTTCGATTTTTATGGGGAAGCAGTTCAGTCGGTTTTTGGGGTTTCAATTAATCGGTTTTCAATCGTTCCTTCGCGTGCGAATCTTAGTATTGGGTAATTGGGGCATGCTGAGTGTGCCATTTCATCACTTTTGAACTCCATTCCGATGTCTGTGGAATTTTTAATCGAGTTCAAGTGATGAAATGCACTCAATTTAGTTTACAATTGTTGGTTTGGTTCTTAATGATTTCACATAAAATTATTCTAGCCTTAAAGTTTCTAGTACAAAATTTTGGACATTACAGAAGATCAAATTCCAATTTCTTCTGATGATTTGAGAAATGAGACAAGGAAAGATACTGTTTTGAGTAAAGTTTATATGTATACTCGTGATGGCTGGCCTGATTCCACGGATTCAGATTTAAAATCTTTTAAAAGTAGATCTCACGAAATTTCAATTGATCAGGGAGTGTTAATGTGGGGCTACAGAGCCATTATTCCAGACAAATTTAGAAAACAATTGTTGGATGAAGTGCATGGTGCACACACAGGTATGAGCAAAATGAAGTCTTTGGCAAGACAATTTTTCTGGTGGCCCGGTTTGGACAAAGATATTGAAAATTATGTAAATCATTGTGACATTTCTAGATCTATTGCGAAACAACCAGAAAAAGTACCGTTGATTAAATTTAATGAAGCTTCTTATGTTTATGAGCGAATCCACATGGATTATCTGAGTCTTTTTAAGGGTAAAATGTTTCTGATCATCGTAGATTCTTATTCTAAATGGCCAGAAGTATTTATCATGGGGAAAACTGACACAGAGAATACGTTGGTGAAGCTTAGAGAATGCATTGCTCGATTTGGGTTACCAAAAGTGATTATAACGGACAATGGTCCACAATTTGTTTCTGAAAAATTTGAAGAGTTTTGTAAATTAAATTTTATCGACCATCGTACTTCACCATACCGTCCAGCAACGAATGGGCTGTCAGAAAATGCAGTAGGTTCAGTAAAAAGAGGTATTGAAAAATTGAGTAAGACTGAAGAGAGAAATATGAATGTTTCTGTTTTATTGAATCGTTATTTATTTAGCTATCAAAATACACCTCATTCGACAACAGCCGAAACACCTTCTAAACCAATGTTCAACCGTGAGGTTAAAACTAGACTAAATTTTTTGACAAAGTCAATGACTGAAAAAATGAGAGAGAGATAAAAAGACTATTTTCATGGAAACAGGAATGTAAAGTTCAATGAAGGAGAATTCGTGTATGCTCGTAATTATACAAATCCCGCAAAACCAAAGTGGCAAAGGGCAATTATTATAAAAAAAATTAGAACAATACAATTTAATTTGCTCACCGGTAAATAATAAGAAAATTTCTTGGAAGAGACATGCAAATCAATTATTAAAATTAGGTAATTTTTATGATGACCACGGGCAGGATAGAGAAAATTCAGTTAACTCGAGATTTGCATTGAATCAAACAAATTCTCATAGTTCTGAACTGGAAAGCGAGGAGGTTGTGCACATAAACAAGGAAAATTTATCTGTACAGCCAGATTTGATTCAAAGCGAGGGCCGAGACCATACCCTAGATCTAACAGTAGAACCGCCAAATGTTCAGGCTCCTAATTTTACTTCTCGCGGTAATTCTAATATTAGTGAGTGTGAGTTTGATAAGGGTATTGTTAACGAACCGAAAGAGTTAAGCAACGAAAATGTATCGAGGAAACTGAGTGAAACGAAGAATTCTAAAACTGATGTAAAATGGAATGTTAATGAAAGACCAAAGCGCACTGTGAAACCGGTAGATCGTTTAAATTTATAAGAAACCTATGCGATAAATTTAATGCGGGATGATTGTAATATATTAGATTGATAATAGATGGCACGAACGAACGAAAGAGCGATGACGAATGTCCACACAGGATCTCAAAATTGTAATCCCTCTCAGTCCCCTATTATCTCTCGACCAATACACAATAAACTCAGTGACGTTACACCTGTCTCTATTCATTTATACCCTCTAACTATATTACATATACATTCACCTCAAACATCGCACAAAGTCCGCCATGGTTCCGCGTAGTGGCTCTCAGTTTCATTTCAATTGAAAACAAAATGTATATGTTACTTTTGTATTAAAGCAGATGTCATATTACTATGTAATCGCTGTGATTTTTATGATGACAATATATCGTTCCAGATTCGATGATGACCTCGGAAGCAAAGTACGCAACGTACCTGGGGAATGTGATGACTTTCGGAACAGTGGCAGTGGAGGATATACACCACTTTAAAGTACCCATCGATAAACAGAAGAAATATCGTTTGCTATCCACTGGACAGGAATTCGCTCTTTGTTTCGTTGGAGGTATGATAGTAAAAATGAACCACGCATTTACAGTTGAAACATATCGTTAGTTAGGGAGGGGAGACGTCGGTGAGATTTGCAACTTTTTGATAGAGCTACGACTTTTGATATATTATAGAATATGTTAATAAATAAGTAAAACAAAATATGACTGCAATCAATTTTGCCCCGTACAGCAACGAAAAATGGAGTTTTTCATGTTTTCACATTTAAAATGTTTCTTGCACCACAGTTCTTATCCGATTAACATATTTTCATTTTTGAAATGTTCGTTAGACTTCAAAGAACAAAATTGAGTATCCGTTTTGCGATCCGTCAAATAGATCATTGAACAACTGAAAACAAGTGGCAATTTGCTTTATTTAGAATCAATTGTTATGCCCGTTTTTATTAACAAATTAGGAAAATGCTTCCGAATGGTCAAGATAAGGTCAGAAATATAAGGGTCAGAAATTGAGGTACAAAATTAGTAACAAAAAACTCAAGAAAGAGTTGAGCAATGACCATCAAGTTCGAACTCGGTCGAGATAACATGAAGATGAATAATTTAAGCCACAATTGAATCGATTTGAAAATTTTTTTTGCGTAACCGTGGCGAAACTGAATCGATCACATACATACATAGATACACACATGCGGACACGTTCTAAAAACCTAATATTATGATTCCTGAGCCCAAAATTCAAATCACCCTGACACAAAAAATCCGAAACTTGGAATTTAAAGATTATAATGCTTCCATTCGGAAGCAAAAATGGAAAGACACATTTTATCACAATCATGTTTTTTCATCCCGCCATTTTTCTTTAAGTGAATACATATTATTTGAAAATACAATCTTCAACTAGTCGAACCTAACACTTTTTAGATGTAATTCGCGAGCAATGAACAAAAAAAAATTTTTTTCTTAATTTTCTATAATTTATCAATGATCTACCAGACGGATGGTAAAACGGGTACTCAGTTTTGTTCTCTGAAGTCTAACGAACATTTCGAAGAAAAAAATTTCAATCTGATGAAAACTGGTAACTGTGGAAGATTCTGAAGGTAAAAACATGAAAAACGCCGTTTGTCATCGATGTACGGGACAAAATCGATTGGGCTCACAATTTTTTTACTTTTCAACCTATTCCATAATATATCAAAAGTCCCTAGCTCCATTGGAGACTTGCAAATCTCACCGACGTCCTCCCTTAGTTCCGTCTTTCCGCAATATCTCAAAAATTACTGTACTAATTTCAATTTTTTCCCCTCAAAATACTCGAATCCAAATAGCTCGGGGTCAATCAAAATATGTATACTCGTTCATAATTTTTTTTTACATATAGCACTGTTGTCCTCTTTGCCTTCCGAATAGAAGCATTGTTTTCGTCTGATTTTGACATTCTCTAATTTTGCTTGGAAATGATGTAGAATGGTATGAAACTTAAAGAAATGATGTTTGTACAACTGCTTACAGTCGCTTGCTTGTTTTTTTATTCTTCACTTCTGGTACGCACGATAACGTGAGAAAAAATGGCGATAGTAAGCTGAAATTTAGTATAATTACGGCTCTCGTAACATTGAAGGTTCGTACTTTCGGTGGACGCAATCGACCGAGCGGTTACGAAGATATTCACCTTTTTGTATAAATCTTCTTTATCAAAAGGTTCAATATCTCCCTGCAGACATTCTGTACAATGTGGTTGTTTGTTACAGGGAGAGGGAGTGAAGAAAACATAAACATTGGAAATTCTCCAGAAACGGTATCGTTCTTCCAAAGTAATGGTCAGATGGCTCCTGCATAAGGGGCTCGAACCCCTGCTTGTTATTTTTCAATTAATGTATCGGTACCGACCTCACATACATAAAAATAGGAGGAGTTGGAACTTTTCCCTCTTCAACTCGTTACAAGGGAAAACAATATTATGGTTTGCCGAAATTGAAACAAACCAAATCCAAATTCAAAACCAGAAGATCCGATTTTCTTTTCGGCGTCTGAAATGATCTTCGTAAGCTGGAGTCTCGTTGGAATCTCAGCGCACCCCCAATTCCCCTCGAGTCTCAAAATGAATTAGGTATTCCCAAGATCCTCTGCATACGAGTCGGTGTGGTGTGTGCAAGAAAAATTTCTCACGTAAGCAGCCGACACTTTTAAACCTCGAAAACTTGTTACTCTGATTTGTTCACAATGAAGTTCCTGGGAAATATTGAATCACTTTGAAGCTCACGTGGGATTATCACTGATGATTTTTTCTCTCTAAATTTCTATCAATCGACGCTTTACATTCGACGCGATTTTGTATAGCTCGCACAGTTTCAGACTGACAATCAACTCCATTCAAATTTCAGCCAATAGAATTACACCATTTGCCGTCATGTGATGGAACCTACACATGCTCCTCAACTGATAATCTTTGGATGGCTTGGTAGCTGCTCCATTGTGAATGGAAGTAGATGCTATGGCAATGGTAGTTTTTATATGGCTTATGGAAAATGTTACATCGTAACACCCGTGAAGGTTTGAGGGTGCGTTCACATGCTGGCGACAAGCGGTGGCAGCACCTTACAGGCACCATTTTCGCTAATGTGTGCGCGCGCCGACGGATGCATATGGCGTCACTTAGTAAAAACCGACACTGAAGTGTGTGTGGAGAGCTAGCAAAAATCCACAATTTACCGAGTCATCTTGACTTAAAACCCGACAAAACCAACAAAATCAACAACTTAAGATAACTAATAACAAATTGTACCGTGACATTTTTCATGGGGGTTAAAATGCCTATTATCTTCGCCCTTCTTCCCCTGAATTTAGTTAAACTCGAAAATGCAGAAATCTATGGGCGCCAGGTAATTTTTAACCGGAATTACCAAACCGGAGGAATCTACAAAATCAACTCTACTAATTCGAAAAACTCTAAAACTTACAAAAAAAAGGGGAGGAAACTAGATTTTTGGGGAAAGGTAACGGTTCTTGGTTCGCTCAGTGTGCTAGGTTGTGGAGAGAGGGGTGGATTTCAGGTGGAAACGGGTTAATGGGGCGGTCAAAACTGCAAAACAGCAAAAACAAAAGGAGGAGATCGACATTATCCTTACTGGTTTCACTATTGAAATTTAAGAATCACCAATTTTACAAAAAAAAAGACATTTCAATTCTCTCAAAAAAATATAAAAAAAGAAAAAAATCTACAATTAATAACTAACAATACTGACAATAATAATAATCATAATATTAACTCCGCACTCTGATAGAAAATAGTCTAATCTGACAAAAATATTCGAAGAAATTAATATCGCCGATAAATGCCTCAAATATGCCGAAATAAACATTTGGGGAGAGTAGAAATACACGCTAATCCCTAAATACTCGAGAATTCCGAGAATTGGGGGGAAAGGTATGCGAGCGACAATGAGAGCGAGAGAGAGGAGCCCATATTCATCCATCGATTTTTCATACCAGCCAAAACGGCTGAAATTCCGCAAAACTCAACTTGCCATAACTCGAGAATGGCACAGTCAAAAATTACGAACCCTCAGACAAAATGTCCGGGAGAGTCAAAAAATAATTTTCTCTGAATAATTAGCCGCCTCAGGTTAATTAATCCCCGAGTGGAATTCTAAACGCAAAAATGCTCGCGTGAAGTGAGAATAGCCACGTGTAAACGTGGATGGGTATCTGAGGGGAGTCGAGAGTCGGGGGGAATTCCCCCTCGAGAAACACGGCGTACACGCCAGCGAAAATGGGCTGGAAATCCTTAAAAATCAAAAATGGAATATCCGGAAACCGGCAGGGCGAATTTTCGGAAACCCTGAGATGAATTACTCAGGGAAGCCTCCCCGAACACATAGATCCACAAACCATAATTTTAATTAACTATCTACGCGAACCAACTCAATTTGAACACGAGTGGAATTTCTTACGCGCGAAAATCCACGTGTAACGGGAATGGACGCGCTCTAGCAATTCAACGTGATTAATTATCCCCTCCGGAGGGGTTTTTCTCCGATAGATTTGTATAAAAGATCTTTAACCAACGTAATAAGCCGATGCATAGTGTGATCGGAGCCGGGTTTGAACCGAAAATACCCCCAAAAAGGGGAGAAATCCCACCGAATAACCCACCAAAAATCACGAAAACCACCCAATCAGGAGTGAAAGGGGGGGGATCGGCACCTCACAATTTGGATTATGCGTCATAATCACCGTTTTAACAGAATAAAATGCGACGTACGGGGCTGAAGACCCCGTAGTCGAATAACTAAAAGCCGAAATGAATTCGGAAAAATAAATAAACCGAACTAAAAACTCACTTTGGGTTTCTTACCCCTCTTTGGGGTGTTCTTCACCATCGTGTAGATACAATAATCCAAATGTGGGCACTATAATCCTAGGATAGGCACTGTACTGGCACTAGTTTCGGTGAGGTCAAGGGCCAACGCCGAACTCCGAACTCACGAGCGTCTCGAGACACCTCAGAGCGCGGAATTCACTGCTCAATCACCCGAATTTTTATTGGTGGGGACACACCCCTCGAAGGTGCGAATCTAACGACAATTAATCGCGACTCTCACGACCTGGCGCGATTATTCAAATCTCACCTAACTCTTTTCTAATCACCTAACACAAAACTAGTTCCTTTTTATTAATTATTACGCGAGACTAGGCCGAACTGATTGTCGTTCGGATAATTACTAAGGGTCTGTGGCGCTTCCCACGGATCGGATCTCCGGGATTTTCGGGGTTAAAAGACAAGTTACCGGCACTTGTTATTACTCCACTACTAATTCCTTCTCAACTCGTTGCTCTCATCGAAAACCCAAAGGCAACCTGGCGATTCGTTGGAGACAATGGTTGCACTCGCTCCAAACGACCTTCCACCCAAAACAAAAACGTACCCAATTAACCCCTGAAAATCCAACGAAATTGGAGCGCCGGCATTTCAGCCGGACCTATTCGATTAGCCACAAGATTAACAATAGGGTGAACCCCATAAAAAAGAACCGGATGACTATAATTTTGG